GGCCGGGGAGAGGACACTGGGGGAAAAGGGAGACTTATGTAATACTTCCAGTGGTCGGCAAACTGCGGCTCGGCAAACAGCAGCTCGCGAGCCACATGCGGCTCTTTGGCTTCTTGAGTGTGGCTCTTCCACAAAATACTGACTTCTGTGCTTGGGCCATGAAGTTTTAATTGCACTGTACATGCGCGCCCGCACGTGGTATTTTGTGGAAGAGTCACACTCAAGGGGCCAAAGAGCCGCAGTTTGCCAACCACGGCTTTAAACAATAAAGAATTTTTTTAAAAGTTACATTACAAATGGAAGAGGAATTTTTTTCATTAGCTTAAGTCTTGTGTGTGTGTGTGTTTATAAAAAAAACAGTTTATTTCAGAGAACATGGGAGAGGGAGAGAAAGAAACATCAATGATGAAAAAGCATTGATCAGTTGTGTCCTGCACATCCACACTGGGGATTGAGCCCAAAACCGGGATATGTGCCCTGACCAGGAATCAAACCATGACCTCCTAGTTCATAGTTGACGCTCAACCACTAAGTCACAGCAGCTGGGCTAGACTTAAGTCTTTAGCTGATTGTTTTGTATGTTCTCTGCTGGTCAGGTGGAGTGACTGTTAATCTAGTGCCACCTTTGCTTTAATACATATAAAATGATAGTTTTAAAATTTTTCACTTATTTTTGCAGAGGAAGACTTAGAGGGAAAAACAGAAGAAGAAATAGAAATGATGAAGATAATGGGATTTGCCTCCTTTGACTCAACAAAAGTAAGTAAAACTTGAAGCCAGTTATGCAGTTTGAATTGAATTAATCCATTATGACTGTCCCATTTTTTCATATTTTTTTACTGTTGACTATGTAATTGCTTCCATTGATACAAGTTTATTCAGTTAAAAGACAATAACTGTCTGTGTGAAGGGGTTTAAGGGTACAGAGAAGGAAGCAGTGGGGTGCCATTGAATCCAGGGAGTGTTTGCCTGGGATGATGTTGAGTTAGATCTTAAAGGGCCAGTACAAAGAAGAAGAAGAGGATCATTTTAAGTAGAAGGAGGAGTTCAGGAAAATGCCCTGTAGACATGAAGTAGCATAGTGTATTGTGGGAATTTCAAATTTAGTGGCTGTTAAAAAAAATGCTGATGGGCCACTGACTACAGTGAGGCTGGAAATAGAGGTAGGAAGCAAATCATGACAGACTTTTGCTGCCCTTTGTCATGCTAAGGAATTTAGAGTTGATTTTTTTTATATATATATTTTTTATTATTGATAGTATTGCAGATATCTCCAATTTTCCCTCCCTTCCCCCCTCCCTCCCACCTTCCCAAGAGATGATTCTTTAGGTGGTGAGAGAAAGCAAAGATTTTTAAGAAAATGAGTGATAGGATTTGTATGTGTTTTAGGGCAGCCTTGGAGCACATTTGGGAGGCATTTACTAGGTGTACCGGTTAATAATGTGGATTTTTTTCAATAGATGGAGTTACACATATGTTGATATATATGCGATTTGATATGTATGCTATTTTGTTGTAACAACAAGCTCAACAAGCTTCAAAACTTCATATGTCAAATTTTCTGAAGGTGTTAACATCATAGATATTTTTACGCTTAAAAATGTTGAATTTTGTGCCAAAAAAGCATCTGCGGAAAGTTTTAATTCATTACTTTATTTTGAAGAAAAGTGCTGCTGAAAGTTATCGTATACTTCGGGAAGCTTATGGTGAACATGCTCCATCTCAAGATACTTGTTCTTGGGAGGTCAAAATCCTGCACCTCAAGTAATTTACCCATTATTCTTCCCTTCCCCCAAAATGTAGTGAAAACAGGAAAGTAAGATCAAATATATTTATTTTAGCTCCACTTTAAATATGTGCCTCATTTGTATATGCCTTTAGGCCAGTGAGTAAGAATCCTTTTTTTCCCTAACACAGACTGATAGGGTACACTCCCATGAGTAATAATGAGGAAAGGGGAGATTGAGGGTCATGTGTGTGAGGGCTGTGTGTGTGTGTGTGTGTGTGAGAGAGAGGGAGAGAGAGAGAGGGAGAGAATGCAAGTGAGCGCTAACCGATGATGTTCATACATTTAACAATCATTTTCTGAGCACCTGCAAGTGCAGTGGCCTAGGATGTGAGGATGCAAAGGTGACTCAAAGGCATATCCCTCCCTCAAGAAGCTTGCAGTCTCATAGGGGAAATGACATTAAGTGTATACATCATGATAATGCAGGTTGGAACATGGTGGGTATCGATGCCTCTGGATCATTTGAATTGAGCCTTGAATGATGTATAAGCACCACATAGTTGAAGATAACCGATGGGAGTTGGGATTGTAATTCAGGCATGAGGAAAAGCAAGTGGTGAGTTAACTTGGCTGAATCAAAAGACCCATAAAGGAATTAATGAAAAAGAGGGTAGAAGCCACATGAGAAAAGGCCAAGATATAAGTGACACTCAACATTAGCATATGTTACTCTGTATTCTGATTTCTGATTTAAAAACCCAAATTGCAAGGCCTGTGTAAGAAATGGGATTTAGATGAATGGTGACCGATCCAGCCATAATTTGAAAAAGTGAATTTTTCTAGAGAAAATACCGTTAACTTATATATGGTTTCAAAGAATTCTTTAACCAAAAGAGGTTAGGATCTGCTACACTATTTCCCTTCATGCCTTGCACGTAATACATAAACCAGGAATGTTTCTTGATTTGAATATTGTATTATTTGCTTATGTGTGACTATAAAAAGGTGAACAGAAGTGTAATACTTGGGAGCTCATGAGATATCATCAGGATCTGAAAATTCTTTTTCTCATTGGCCTACCTCATTCTTAGATGGATCTTGCCATGTAAGTCTGTCTATAGGATGCAATTCTTTTGATCAAGGTATTTAATGTATCCTTCCTGTTTTTATAATTTATATATTGCTTTTCTCCAGGGAAAAAAGTTGGATGGTTCTGTAAATGCCTATGCCATAAATGTGTCTCAGAAGAGGAAGTACAGGTATGCATTACCCCCATTATTATGTTTGAACCAATAATATAAATCATGTGCTTGAGAAAGAATTTATTATCGGATAATTATTTGTAGGAAATGTAGCAATCTTCCGTACAGTCCCTTGTTTCAGTCTTCCTTGCTTATATTCTGGTGTGTTAATTTCTGATTTACATGTGAACTAATTATTATAGAGAATGGTAGTTGGCTTAAATCTTTTACAACTGTATAGATAGTTCTTCAGAACATTTTTTAAAGTCTTTTTACTTTAATTTCATTATAATTATAGATTTAAAAAATAAATCACTCCTGAATTACTCACTTGGATTGATGATGTAAGGATTTCAACTGTAAATATATTAAGTACACACATTTTATTAATAGCATGGGACAATTCATACTTGAAATCTTACTGAATTCCTAATGAATGGAAAAGGCAAGAACACATCTTCAAACATTGCCTTACTCTCTACCGTTATCACTGATAAAAGACTAATATTCCAATAAATTTAGAATATGAATAATGTGATTTGAGAATGCTGGTGAGTTAACACGTTAAGCGCCCAGCCTGTTTTGTCTTCCGGAGGGAAAGTATAGTGTCAGTCACCGGTGACTGACTGGGCGTTTAACGTTTTAAGGAACCAGAATCATCACTGACATTCCTTTGTAAAGCTCCCTTTAAATAGAGTGTTATGGAGAAAACCAGTCCAGTATGCAATCAGATTTACTTGGCAGGTACCTGTTTTGAACTCCGCTCTGTATCCTTTAACTAGGTGTTTGGTGTTACTTAAAATAAATAAATTGATTTTTTTTTAAGTCTGTGGAATCTTCTCAAATAATTTTGAAAGTATATTTCCATACTTCTATTTGGATTTTACAGAAATCTTTAATGCTGTTGCTTATTTTGAAAGTGAAGTAATCTCTTCTTACTGTACATTAAATAATCTTGAATACTTCTTACCCTATACTTTGCCATCTTAAAGGTTATTTATAGGTGTAATTTCAGAAGCATCTCATTTTTTATAGAGAGAGAGGAAGGGGGAAAAAGAGAGAGAAACATCAATTTGTTGTTGCACTTATTTCTTGATTGATTGATTCTTGTATGTGCCCTGATTGGGGATAGAACTTGCAACCTTGGCATATTGGGATGATGCTCTAAACAACTAAGCAGCCTGACCAGGACCATGGATATTTTTTCACGAGAGGAGTCCAGAATTTTTTTTTTAATGAACATTGAATTTTTTCTTCTTCTCATAGGCAGTACATGAATCGCAAAGGTGGATTCAACAGACCTTTGGATTTCATTGCGTGAGAATTGAAATGTTGAAGAATGATTTTTTCCCCCCTCATCATGATCAGAAGAGTGCATTTTGTATTTTGTATTTCATATGCATCAAAACAGGACAGGATCACAGCCCTTCCTCCTTGTAAAGTAAGAAAATTTTATCTTTGATGTGTGCAGTTCACTTACCTTGCCTCAAAAGAAGAAATGTTAAATATTACATTTTTTTCTTTTAGGAAGTATCATTTGGGGCAATCATCAACCCCATTTTTTGTCTTATTCCTGTGGAAGCTGTATATGTTTTCTTCTTGGATGCTCGTTAGGACTTTTTAAAACACATAAAAAAGTAATTTGGATGTAAGTGTCTCAAATAAAGCAATTATTTCTACCTCTCTGTATTTGATAAATATTTTATTACTGTGTAAAATATCTCCCTACACATTTTCTTTTTTCATGCATAGATTTAGATATGATTCCTAGTAGTTAAAAAATTAAAAGAATGAAAAAGTATAACTGGATTTTTGTATCTTCTGAGGGTTTTTTCCTCAGTACCACTTATTACTTTCCCCCCATTTTTAAAAGCAATAAATGCTTATTTAAAAAAAAACAAAACACCACACACACACACACACACACACACACACACAAAACAACGTGGGAAAAAACCAAACAGTAAAAGAAAAGCCAAAATCACCTATAACCTACCCCCAGGAACACTCAATGTTACTATTTTGGTATATATCTTTTCAGGATCCTATGGGTGTATATTTCCTACTCCCTACCATGAGATAAGAATGCAGTTCTCTTTTGCTAATCCTTTTTCTCCCATGTGCTGTGAATATCTTTTTAATATTCGTACATATTCTTTGGAAACTTAGCTTTTAGGAGGTAGTTGGTTGTACCATAATTTTTTATTAACAAATCATTTACTTGGTGAACATTGGCTTCCCTCCTATGATTTGTTGTAAGTAGTATCCCTGTTACATATATCTTTTTGTACTTGTTGCATTATTTCCTCTGGTTCGGTTCTTAAATGTGAGATAAAGGTGTGTGTGTGTGCGCACGTGCGCACATGTTTTAAGGGTTTTGGTACATATATATGGCTAGAAAGGTAACAATGGACTCTGACAGTAAGGTATGGGCATTCCCATTTTATACACATGTACTAATACTGGGTGTAATTTATTTAAAGTTTCTAATCTGATGAGTAAAGTATTGGTATTTGCTTTTAATTTATTTAATTTCTGGGGAGGAGGAACATTTTAAAAACATGTTCGCCATATATATTCCTTTGTAAAATGCTAATTCTAAATCTTGGTTCCATTTGTGTTTTGGCAAGTTTTCTTTTTCTTACTTGAAGGAAACTCTTTTTATATTGAAAATAATAAACATTACCCATTCTATTTCACATCTCATTGGTATTTGAGCTCCGTAGTTAGATTTTAAATTTGGGTTGTTTGTTTGTTTTTGAGTACAAGCACATGGAACACAATTTGGATAGCACAAAGGATATAAAGTGATGAGCTAATTGTGTATCTTTTCAGAGATATACGCAAATATATATTTTATTCAAATGTAAGCAAACTTTACACACTATTTTGCAACAAGCCTTTTTTTCACTTGTAAATCTTAAGATTATTTCTTATCAGCACATGTAATATTGCCTCTTTTTTAAAAATCATCAAGTATGGTTTATTTCAGAATGTTGTAATCTATTACTTTTTTTAAAATACTATAATCATGGTCCTTGTATGTACACGATTTTATGTTTCTTTAGCTGGATTTTTAAATCCTTCATTGCATCTGAAATTTGACCATTTATTATAGTTCTTTAAAAGCTTTCCTGGCAGGTCATTCCATAGAAAGAAAAGAGTAGTAACCTACTAGTACACGAGGCTAGTACTCACGGATTGTCTTATCTTTTCATTTCTTCTCTCTCTCTCTCTCTCTCGTTGAATGTATTAGGGAGATAGTGGTTAATAAAACCATATGGGTTTTAAAATAAAAAAAAGAATGAATAAATAAATAAAAAGAAAAGTAGTAGAATGACTGCATTGAATAATACAGTGTGCAGAGAGCACCTTGGTTCATTTGCTCCCCGTGAAACACAGTAGGCATTATTATCTCCGTTTCCCAGATGAGAAAGCTGAGGCTTTTCAGACCATAAAGGCAGATATAATTAGTGTTTATACTACAGGTTGCCTTCAGTGCTTAAATATTTGAGTGTGCTACATTAGCTGCACAACTTGTAGTACCCATTGCATGAGTGTCACTGCCTTAGTCAGTCAGATTATTTTGCTTGGACTTTTTGCAAGCTGAGCTAAATAGACTCCCAAACCCCCACTCACCAAAACTTGTACATCTGTAAATTATCCAGGACGAGGACTGTCTGACCATACATGTGCACACCCAGTTGTTTGAATAGGGAAGCTAAAAATTCTGGGATAAAATAATATAACCCAAACCAAATTACAGGTCTTTGGATTGTCATCTTCGTTTGGTGTTAGTAGAGATTTGACTTGAGATCCTCAAGGCAACATAGTTGTAAAGAAATTATCTGAGCCCAACTGTGGCTCAGTGTTTGAGAGAAGACCTATGAACCAGGAAGTCACAGTTCGATTCCTGGTTAGGGCACATGCCTGGATTGCAGGCTTGATCCCTAGTGGGGGGCATGCAGGAGGTAGCCTATCAATGATCCTCTCTCATCATTTATGTTTTTCTCTCACCCTCTTCTTATCTCTCTGAAATCAATAGGAATTTTTTTTTTTTTTTAAGAAATCTGAAAATACCTGGTAGGTCAATAGGTATGTGCTCATCAGCTAACACCAAAGAAATAGAGAAGGAGGAAATCTTTTAAAATCCAGAGATAAGACACCTCTGATTCTAAGAGAAGTCTTGGTTTGAAGGATCTTTTATCCAGCAGATTGATTCTGTAAGAATAACAAAGATAGAAGGAACATCCTCATCTTCCTCTAACAGGCTGCTGCCCCTCAATGGGCATAAATTACACCAAATCTTCTATTTTCACATATCTAAATGTTATGAGTGCTTCAGGGCTCAATCCCTGGGCGATTTGTGTGACTTCAAACATCTCCTGTCATGGCTCTTGAATTTATACTTCCAGCTTGACCATTTTACTGAATTCCAGGCTTGTATATGCACCTAGATTATTAGGCACCTCAAATTTAAAATTAACTGAACTCTCATTTCCCTGCCCAGCCTTCTTTGAGGCTTTCCCACCTCATTAAATGGCTCGCTCCTTCACTCATTTCTCTGCTCAGACCAAAATCCTTAGGGTCATTCTTAACTCCTCTCTTTCTCCTGTACTCCATATCTGATTCATTAGCCAATTCTTTTGACTCTTATTTGAGAATATAATTTGAATCCACTTTTTTGTTCAGATTTATTGAAGTGTAATTGACAAAATTATAAGGTATTTCAAGTATACATCGTAGTGATTTGATACATGTTGAAACTGACCACTCTTACCACCTATATAACCTAAGCCATCGCTCTTGCCTAGACTACTCTAGTGGCCTCCTGATAACTCCCCTTCCTTCTCTTGCTGCCTCCGTTTATTCTCCATCCAGCAGCAGAGGTGAACCTTTTAAAATGTGCATCAAATTGTGTTGTTCCTGCCTCTGGTAATTTTCTGTGATTTAGAATAAGTCTAGTTCTTACTGTGGTCCACAAGCCTGAAGTCTGGACCCTGTCATCCCACAGCCTCCCCCTCATCCTACTGCACTCAGCCACGCTGCTGGCCTCCTTGCTGTTCCTTCCGAACAAGTGTGCATCTACCTAAGAGTCTTCCCACTTGTTCCTCCTGGAATGTTCCTCCTCCCCTACAAATACCCCTCTGGCCCTCCCTACCCCAGAAACCACGTTCTGTCTCTAAAGATGTGTCTAATGTGGACATTTTCATATAAATGGATATTTCATGTGAGTGGAATTATACAATAATTTAGTCTTTTGTGTCTGACTTGTTTCACTTAGCATAATGTTTTCAAGGTTCATCTATACTGTAACATGTATCAATACTTTATTACTTCTTTTTTTTAATTCTCCCCGAGGATATTTTTTCTATTGACTTTTTTCTTTATGTTTTTATTGATTTTTAGAGAGAGAAAAAGGGAGAGGCATATAGAGATATAAAAACATCGATGAGAGAGAAACATCGATTGGCTGCCTCCTGCACGCCCCATTCTGGGATTCGAGCCTGCAACCCAGGCATGTGCCCTGACCAGGAATTGAACCAGTGACCTCCTGGTTCATGGGCTAATGCTCAACCACTGAGCCACACCAGCCTTTATTTTTAGAGAGAGTGGGAGAGAGGTGGAGAAACAGAGAAACATCCATGTGAGAGAGACACATCGTTTGGTTGCCTCCTGCATGCGCCCAGACAGGGATCGAACCTGCAAAAGGTACATGCCCTTGACTGGAATCAACCAGCCACACTTCAGTCCAAGGGCTGGCACTCTAACTACTGAGCAACCTCTAGGGCCTTTACTTTTATGGTTGAATAATATTCTGTTCTATCACATACCACATTTTTATTTATAATGTATCAGTTTATGGGCATTTTGGCTATTATGAATAGTGGTGCTATGAACAGTCACTGCCTTGGAAATGTTTCTATGCCAGTTTATGTACCTCTACTCTTTTTTTTTTAGCTGCTACATAGTGTTTTGTGTACTATATATATCACTTGGTTAGTCATTCCTTTGTTTTTGAAATATTTGTAGAATAACTAATTTTTGCAAAGCAGTGTTCTTTTTTTTTATTTTTTATTTTATTGATTTTTTTACAGAGAGGAAGGGAGAGAGATAGAGAGTTAGAAACATTGATGAGAGAGAAACATCGATCAGCTGCCTCCTGCACATCCCCTACTGGGGATGTGTCCGCAACCCAGGTACATGCCCTTGACCGGAATTGAACCTGGGACCTTTCAGTCTGCAGGCCGACGCTCTATCCACTGAGCCAAACCAGTTCCGGCCAAAGCAGTGTTTTAAAGATTTTTAAAACTTAATATCATGTCATTAGATGTCATGGTATTGAGGTGTCCAAAGTAACCACAAAGATGGGGATTGATATTATTGAAGTAGGAAATTCCAGTCCTGATTTTTACACTTCAAAGAACAAAATAAGTTCCTCAAAAATTTATTTACAGCCGTAACCTGTTTGGCTCAGTGGATAGAGCGTCAGCCTGCAGACTGAAAGGTCCCAGGTTCGATTCCGGTCAAGGGCATGTAGCTTGGTTGCGGGCACATCCCCAGTAGGAGGTGTGCAGGAGGCAGCTGATTGATGTTTCTCTCTCATCGATGTTTCTAACTCTCTATCTCTCTCCCTTCCTCTCTGTAAAATCAATAAAAAATATATATTTTTAAAATTTA